CCCCCCCCGCAAAACACACACACACACACACACACACGGTAGTACACTAAGCTCCACCGGGGCAGAGATCTCTTCTGTTTTATTCAAACACTGCATCTACCACTTTCCATGTGTTTAACAATAAGGAGAAATCATCGATCTTTGTTGAGTAGAAAAATGCACTGAATCATACTTTTATTTGTTTTTGCTTAGTGGAAAGCAAGGCTTTGAGATACTTTAAACACCAAGACAAAGTACATTTAATAATGAAGTGTGGGTTTCTCTGCAGTTGCTCCTGGGTGTTTCTTTAGGTGGTGACCAGCTAGACCACAGTGAAGGGCAAGGATGGCCAGTGTGCAGAAGGGGAAATCAATCTTGAAGTTGGCTGTGTGTCAGGCTCTTCTGCACATGTTCTCTTTCATAACGACCATTATTACAAAGGAGGAAGTGGCCCCTTAAGGCAATTAATCATGGCAAGGCTTAAAAAGCCATCTAGGTTCTTTGACTCCAGAGTCTTTGTTCCCTCTCCCATACTTCCTTTGTGTATTACCACAAAGGAAACCTTGTTACTATCCAACATCTATTGAGCATTCATCTGCAGGAGGTGCTCAAGGACACAGGAAAAGTGAAAGGTATGATCCCTAAGCTCTGACTTTAGAGATGGATGCTCACAGAGAGGGCAACAGAACATAATGCATGTCAAGAAATTAGGGCAGAGAACGAAATTAGGTCTAAGTCAAATGCACAGAACTGGGAAGCAAGCGTGGACAAATGTACAAAATCACTTTCAACGGTACAAACAGAGAGTATTGGAGAGATGACTCTAGTAGATTAAAATGACAAATCTGATTTGAATGGTTAAAACTGTGTCACTTGATCTCTCTAATACACTTTGGGCTTGATCTGGTTTTTAATATTTTCTGTGGGGGTTTTTTTCATAGTGGGTTTTATCTCTGTTGTATTTTGTCATTGTTGGTAGCCTTCTTGAATTTTTGTTATGGGTTTTTCTCTGTTCTGGGGTATAAGAAACTCAGGATAGGGAAAACTATAGAGGCAACAGCTTAAAAAAAGGCTACCTAGGGGCTGGGGTGGGGAGGGGTGGTAAGGGGGAGCTGATATCAAAAAATCCAAGAAGAAATAAAATGGTTTGAAATTGATTTTGGTAACAATTTTACAACATTGCTTGATGTGATTGAACTATGAAATGGCATGATGTCTACACTAGCTCTTAATAACAGGGTTTTTGCTGGCATGTAGGAGTGGGGGAGGGAGAAGAACCAAGGGATGTCAGCCTTTAATAAATGTGTCTCAGGAGTGGTCCTAGGCACTTATTCCTTTCAAAAACATTGTAAAGCGGTTGCAAGGTATGGTCCTAGATTGGGCTCCTTGGGCAGAAACTCCAGTACAGTGATTTGTGTGCTTCAAGTTGATGAGGCCATATGACAGGCCATATGATGTAAGCAGGAACGGTCGGAGAGAGAAGGGCTAGGAGGTAGTCACAACAAAGACCCAACTCCCTCCACTGCTATTTCCCTTCAGAATGGTTTCCAACTGCTGGAGGTGGTAGGAGCAGGATATGTGATGGGAGTGCACTGAGGGCATTGCAATGGTGAATTGAAACACAGTGTGGGTGCAGTGTTGAATTTAAAACTGCAATGTAATCTATAGATCTACTTCAAATTAAAAATCAAAAACAAATGGTCTCCTCTCTGCACTTCACTACTCCTCAGATGTCCCCACTGAGTCTCCAGCCACTGCTTTACAGTCTCCCACCTTGTAACCCTGCATGTTCTCAAAGCCCTCCTCCTGTATACGCTTTGCATGGGATCCAGAACATTTTCACGCCTTCCCCTACCAACTGCATACCGATGGCTTCTAAATCTACACCTGTCCTCGGGATTTCTCTCTTAAGCTTCAAATATCCGGACACATCACTCGGAGGATACACCCTCTCCGAGGGCCCTTAAACACCTCCATTTAAACATAATCAAAAATGGAATTCCTCTCTTTCCATGAAGTTTAACCTAAGTAGGGGTTATGTGCTGGGCAGAGATCTCATGATTCAGG